TATATATATATATATATATATATACTTATATACATATATACTTATATATATATACATATACTTATATATATATATATATATATATATATACATGTATGTATAAAATCGTTGATTATTATAATAGAAATTTTTAAAAAGCAGAATATTGTAGCTATAAATCGTAAATGTAGCGTGATATTCATTTAGTTTTCCGTCTGGCATTCCAATAATTTTTCGGGCAGCTGCATGACAGTATTTTATATATGTTCGTACGTATATGCACTCTCATAAAGATAATAAATATATAGGAGATAAAGAGAAATTTGAATACTAGAGTGTGTGCGTTCGTCACATGCACTTCACTTTGCAGAAAAAGAAGATTAAACATAATAAATACATCAGGATTTCGGCAGTTTCTCATCTCGCCGACAGCATTACGAGTTTGCGCAATTTTATGCGCGATTAATAATTACATTCGCAGTCTTTAATTATATAAGTAAGATATCGTTTGCTCGAAAAGTATTATTGCTGATGTCAATTTTTAAATATATTAAATTGTACGATTGAGATCTTCTGCTTTTTATTGACAAACCTTGTAAAGATTCAGAGTATCCATAGCGTTATGACTACGTATGTTATTTCGCTCTAGCGCTGAAAATAAAAGCTGGCAGATAAAGTTGCAAAGCTGTATAACGGAGGGAATAAAAACTGTACAAAATCCTGTAATTTATATTATGTAACTCTGGCTTTTAATTATAAAATGTATGTTATCATGATTATGCGAAAAAGATGCGCATGACCTTGTAAAGCCATATATCTTACAGCACTCTAGCATTCGTTTAAAAACTGCAGTATAATCGTTAAAATAATGGTACTGATACAATATCGCAAATGAAATATACGTCTCGTGAAAATGCTGCTGGAAGGATGAACAAACCGAAGTGTTTTATTAACGCAAAATATTTGATAAAATGTTGACATTAAAAATTAGTAAAAATTAGAATTATTGTACAGAAATTTCCAATGACCTTTAAATATTATATCAATACTATGTCATTATCAAATGAATTCCATTGCTAGTTTGTCTTTTATTATTTTAATAAACATTAGTGGGAAATCATAATTAATCATATCAATGACATTATAATACTTTAAGGCAAAACAGCGTATTGATTTTATATATTTTATCAAAAATATAATATATGAAATATATAACGCAAATGCATTTGACGAGGATAAATGCCTGAAATGTTCGTGGCGGCTATCATTCTCGATTTGCTCGTGTTTCAACGTAGACGTATGATGAAAATTTATTATTATTCACAATTTAAGCGTGTGTACAGCAAGTGCACGTACGTGATACCTTCCGGCTGGCACATTACGGGACGCATTACGATATTTATATCGCGTCAAATGGATTTAGGAAAGTACCTGTATGTGTGCAGCGTGTTCTTGAAAATGACAGTGACAAATTTTATCAAAGAGAAATCTTAAACCGATCTGAAATCGATATCGTCTCAAGGGGAATTTATTTGGATTTCTTTACTCTTCCTTGGATTTCAACGTTAAATTATAATAATTTTTCGAAGTGCAACTAAGCATTATAAGCATTATATTAAGGTTTATCAAAGCACAATCTGATCAAAGTAAATAAAGACTTGATTCTATTAAAAGTTGTCCATTTAAAAATGATTTGTAAATTATTTCTAATCTTAGATATTCAAGTATTTATTTTTTTTTATTAAAAAAATCGGTTTTATACATCTTGTAAAAATGAAGTTGAGTCAAGTTTGTCAATGTTATACAAAAACATTCTGCACGTTGTTACCTTTGTTTTAAGAGATGCAGTTTAATCCCTTATTTGCAAGATTATCGTTAAAATTACAAAAAATTTATTTTTCTTTAAATAAAAATCGTTTATAAGAAAAATCCTATTCCGATAGTATATATAGATATACATCACATAAAAGTTTTTTGCAAAGCATATCTGCTTTGATTCTTTCTTTTTTTTTTTTAATTATTTTATTTCATATTTTTAAAGTTGACAAACAGTCAACAGTTGAGATCAAAAGTACGCAATGAGACATTTAATTAACGAAACTCACAATCATCAGAATGCAAATGTGGGATTAACCCGTGGAGACACGTGCATCACGCGCGCTGCCGTGGTACACAGTATATATTCATGAGTATTACATATATACACATGTACACGAATATCGAAACAGGTATTTCGGTATAATATGCATAATGTATTAGGTGTTGGAATTAATTCGTAGCGTTTTTTAATGAAAGAATGTTATTTATTTCACATGAGCATTAAAAAATACATTAATGAAAGTACTTTTAAAATTTATAAATACTTTGTAAAACGCTACGAATTAATTCCAACACCTAATAATAATATACATCGCGATGGGTATTAATAAAACAGCCACGGTCATAACGACGGTAATTAATGGTAACAAATGTAAGTTCAATGATAAAAGATAACGATATAATAATGATAACAACAATAATAATAATAATAATAAGACGTGTAGCGAGGAAAACGGCAAAAAAGAATTAGAGAAGAAATAAATACGTAAGAAAAATAATGAAATTGCCTAAAACTCGGCCAGGGTGGCAGGACGTTCACAGTGAGCTCCTCGTCGGAATCCTGATGAGACCGTCCACTCACGGTCCTGGTCACACCGATCTGGCTTTCCGCATCACTCTTGAACCTTTTCGGAAAGAACAAGCCAGCCAAGCAACACGATCAACAGTCACATTCAGCAACAGCCACGGAAGATACAAAAATCCGCAATAAAACCTTTTATCATTCTTTATCTCTCTCATTCTTTCCTTTTTCATTCTCTCTCTCTCTCTCTCTCTCTCTCTCTCTCTCTCGCACGTGTCACGCAGGATACTGCATGTGCACGCGCATAAAGATGTAAAATCAACTGTTAAAACTGTCACCATTACGCAATAATAAACTTGAGTACTTTCAAGTCAGTTTTAATAAACGTGATCTTACAATTTTCTTGTTAACTCTGTAATAATTTTTCTTACGTAGTTATTTTCTTAGTTATTTTCATACGTATACATTATTCATATATAAAAATGAATTAATTAAAATTATGCACAGAATTATTTCAAACAAAATTGTACTTATTTTATCTTTATCGATAGCACGTAGGAAAAATTTATTTTATTCACAATTTATTTTATTAACAATTACGCTACATTATGAAAAATCGTGTATCATTGTACGCGTGCACATGTTCTATATATGAGAATATTATGAATTAATATGCAGAATTTTATAATATATATCACATGGGAAATTATAGTCACTTATATCTAATCGTTATATAAAAGAAATTTGAGTGTAAAATTGCGCTCTCTCGCATGCTTCGATAAAGATTTTTACGATCGTCAAAATCAGTTGAAGCAGATACTTTCGAACGATTTAATCAGTGGCAACCGGAAGTCGTCAACTACAAACTAATGCTTGCGATAATTGTAATTTTCTCAGCAGAAATCCATTCCGTGAATTAAATTTTTTATTTTTATAATTAAGGATTGTGTGATTTAAAAGTGATCGAATGTTTTTTATTTTACACAATTTCCATTTTCAATTTTTCGGAATAGATTTCTTATGATTCACATATTTACTTCCAAAGATGAGTAATTGATGTTAAACTCGAATACATTCGATCGTATCCGGTAACTAATGGAAACAATAAGCAAGAATGTTTCCTACCTCGAGAAGATCTTGCGAACCAGATGATCCTGAGCTTGATCCAATTGCGGCTCATTTTTTCTCCTTTCGGCCAACTCCTTTTCTCGACGGACATCGGCGACTTTCCGAAAGATGAGCTATGCATAGAATTTGCCTTCATTAACGTGCATACATGATAAAAAATATTCTTTTTAAATAATAATTAAATAAAAAAGATACGTAGAGATTAAAATGTTTGTTAATTAAAACTTATTAAAAACAATGTATACATATATATTATATATAAGAAATTCATATATATATCATTTTGTACCTTATTATATTTTACATAGATATGTTATATCCAGTAAACATCAACAATAAACATTATATTTTTTATTCAACAACATAATTCCTATAAATGTGTGTTACATATATTAATATTGTTGAATAAAATTTTATAATAATATTATGTTAGTTAGTGTTTATTCTAACTTAGAGTATATTTCATTATACCTATTTGTTCTATAATAATAATATAATAAATTTCCTATTTGATGAAAAAATACTATAGGTATTTATTACACAGCATTGTTTATATACGTTTGTTTAATCGTTTTACGACACTCGACATATAATTTTCAGGAATTTCTTTTTGTGGAAATAGAAAGTGGAAGAACCAATCTTCATTTAAACAATACTTAACAGTCAAGCGTTTCCGCGCCAGTGCGAAAATCGCATGGAAACAGCCGGTACTGTGTTTCGACTTTGACGTATTATGGATGCGCGTCATCTCGAATGCTCTGTGTATAGGCCGGGTCATCTCATCTCATCTCATCTACCGCGTGAAAATTGCATAACTCGAGCAACGCGCCTATAATTCCCTTTGAGCGAGATCGCATCCAACCGCATTTCGTGCTGTTCCTCGCCTTGTCCTCTCTTGGTTATTCTACTTCGTCTTGCCTTCATCCTTTACAATTCTTTTGTTCTTTATGTACACATTGTGCGATGAATATTTTCGCGAGGCAATTATCTCTCGATAATCTTCGAATTTTTGACCCTGTTTCTTTACTATAGAAGTTCGTGTGAGCGTAAAAAAATACACATAAACAAATGCACTTGCAAGTGGAATAGACAGTGCAATAAGCTGACAGTTGAAGGATAGATCAGCTGGATCTTCAGTTTTCGCTGTCCCGCTCTTTGTACTCCGGGCACTCAGAGTAATTTTATAAATATTATTATTATTGAGTCTAAATTAGTTTTGTTGCTTATTCGTGCAAAAATTCAGAGGTTCCGTTTCCAGAAAAAAAAAAGATAAAAAGTTTTTTTCCTCTATAGGTTTTCGAGATTCTCGAATTTTTGTCTTGTTAGATGATTTGCTATTAAGCCACTTAGTCTGCTTCACAACTTTTTCGCGTTATTAAAGGAGAGACAGTTATAATTTCAACAAGTTTAAATGTTTCACCGTCAGTTTTGATTACTCGTGAACGAACGAACGGGGAAAATGCGCAAATGTGATGCATAGACGATGCATCGCGCGTCGTGCGTCAGTTGGCGCAGGCGTCATGATGGAAGTCGATAGGTGCTGTCGATGAGAGGTGCGCACTCGTGGCGGCTCGTAGCAGCGAGCTGCTCGCGCGTTGCACATAACCTTTAAAGTCCTCTGGTGGCCGTGTTGACGTGTTCATCCGAGTCGATCGCACGATCGCCGTCGTCCGCACGACGACGTGACGTGACGTGACGTGACGAAACGTGACGCAACGTCGCGCCGCCGACGACGTCGACAGTGCCGACTCCAGTCGACATCTGCGGATGCAGCGGATCTGCGGTCCAAGGAAGGTGCAGGGTGGTGTCTTTGCATTCTCGACATAGACAGAGTGACCGGATGGAAGACTAGGAGGTATATGGACTGTCGGGAAAGGTTGCTCGCCCGTACGAAAGGTGTGTAAAATATATATTTTTTATCAATCACTTTATCAATGACGTGATAGATTGTATAGTTGTTTTTTATGATTTTAAAGTCAATAATGATCAAACATATAGCTTACTCTGAACAAATTCTAAAATATAATTGGAAAAAAAGAAAACTCTCATTTATCTTTTTACTCTATTTAATGTGACGTCAAACATGATTCTAAAGTGATATATATATAGAATTAAACTATTATTTAGAAAAATGATTTGATTAATAAAGGTACTAAAAGTTGATTAACAGAAGTTGCTTTTGAAATAAGCAAAACAATTGACACTGTATAATTGTTACAGATGGGTCATGGATCAAGCCGTTCTGCTTCATCAGCAAATATTCTTTCCACAGAGGAATTGACATTAGTGGAGAATCTCTTTAAGTCTATGTCCCGCAGCTCAGGTTCTATCAAACGCGAGGACATATTCAAACATTGGTCGATACATTTGGATGATGCTTTATTGCAATTTATAGTCCGATTTCTCTGTCATGATCCAGGAAAGAAAGTCTCGACTATCAACGGGGAGAACTTTGGTCGACTCTATGTCTTTGCCGTACGCGGTAATCCCGAGGAACGCACCAATTTAATCTTTGATGGTCTCTCAGAGGAAGAGCAAAAATATGAAATACCCACCGTTTCGTTCCTTCAGTATCTTCAAGCAACGATTAATTCTTACTTACGACTACAAAAGAACTCTGTTAATGCGCATTACCTCACTTGGAGTAGCATCGGCTGCACGGTCAACACTAGGCGCATAGGAATGCGTTCTCGTAGTCTCTGTGAGGATCTGATCAAATATGGGGATGTGTTGACTGTCGATCAAGTGGAAAGTTGGTTTATTACAGCTGCCACATTTAAGAATATTCAATCGCACGTTTTCCAATACCTCTATTTAGTCTCTCAAAAGAAGGGTAGCGATAAGAATACAGGAGCGCGAATAAACGATCTGAACCTTTTGCCGTTATGCAAGGGTTTGGAAAATATACCGCACTTTCCAAGTATATTAGGTTTGGGAGATGTTCTGTTCCTAAATTTGAGTCTGCCACACGAGTTACGTAACGAATGGCGATTTCTGTTTTCGAGTCAGGTGCATGGCGAATCATTTTCAACTATGTTAGGAAGAATCGTGATGCAAGGTGCTACAATTATTATACTTCAAGATATGGATGATCATGTGTTTGGCGGTTTCGCCTCAGACAGCTGGAAACTAGGACCGAATTTCATAGGAAATCAAACGTCATTCCTATTCAAGCTTGAGCCGGAAATATTGACATTTTCATCGACAAATTACAACAATCACTATCAGTATCTCAATCTCCATCAGCAAACGATGCCTAATGGCCTGCTTATGGGGGGACAGCTTAATTATCCCGGCCTCTGGTTGGATTGCGAATACGGTACCGGCAAATCAAGTTTATCGTGCACGACTTTTCAAAATTATGTACAGCTTAGCGGTAAGGAAGACTTTAAAATCAAACATTGCGAGGTATGGGGAGTCGGTCCAGTGCCAGATGTGGAAGAGGACATGCGCGAAATGCAATCTGTGTTGGATCAAGATCCGACATCGAAGGTCATGCTAGAATTGTCCGGTCGTAAGTTATACAGTGAGGGACTTCGCGAAGAACAAGTGTGATAAATATAGAGATTTTTAAGAGATATTGAGCAGAGAGAAAGAAAGAGAAAGGGAGAGAGAGAGAGAGAGAATGTTAGTACTAAAGATATTTGCAGATATTTGAAATTGATCAATTGATTTTACACAGAATAAAATCTATATAATTATTGTTATCGATTCTTATAGTTGTAATGGGATATATGCGGGTACGAGAAATGTATTAAAAAACTTATAATTATATAGAACTATAATAATGTTTACGATATGAAAGAGTCCTCCTATTTTACACGAGTGCGTATCTTTAAAGTTGAAACGAATTCACGTGATAGCGACGTGAGAAACAGTTAAAACTCAGAACATTACAGAAACGAATTATATTACGAAAATTATTGCGGAAGTCTGAATGAAAAACGCTTATCTGTTTGTATGAATGAATTTCACATTTTTTACAGTCTTGTGTAAGACTATTTATTTGTAATTATTTATCTAAATATATATTATTAGGACTTTTGTCCCCTTTTAAAACGGCCTGATATCTTTCAATTTACGATTATTTCTTCGATCGGTCAGTCATACTTGTAATTTTGTTAATGTATACATGTATTTCTGAAATCAATGGTACGATATTAAAGAATGTTGATTGTTGCGTTACCCGAATGCCTATTGTCTAGTGCCTGAGTCGTTTATTGTAATTGTTAATTTATCATTTTTTGCATATGTTGATTATTTATAAACGAATAACCGTGTGCCATACAAATTGCTTTTATTAACTAAGACTGTATAATCGTCGTGCAAAGAAATATGCAAACACTCTGATCATTTGCCATTATAAAGTCAAAGCAAATCATCGCACTAATGTAAGATCTATTAAAAGTTCAATAAACAATCAAAATCCTATATTTTAATTGTCATATTTGATTTGACCTTTTTCATCAATTTACAATAAACATATTTGCAAAAAAAAAGATTAAAAATTAAATATTTGAGAGACTCACCCGATGACTCAAGTTGTAAGTTAGAATCAGGTTCCTGGCGAAGGAATTTGCGAAAGCTTGATAAAAGTCCAACACCTCCAAGAGCCGATCTCGTTTGATTGTATGCAAATCGCAATAAGTAAGCGCCCTAACATTCGCTGCACTCTGGCCGATCGTTGGATTCGTCCAAAAGCTGTCGCCGAAAACGTCGCCTTTCCCTAGTATTGCCACTACTTCGTCATCCTGTATGACTTCGAGGCTACCAGTCACGATAAAGCACAGAGAATCGATGGATTCTCCTGTATGATAGAGCAGATCGCCGGGTGCGCTGTGTGACATCGTGAAGTGCATCGCCAAGGCACGCAGACATCCATCAGATGCTAATCTAAATGAGCATAGCGAATTAAAATTATTATGTTGTAAATTATTATATCAAAATTATTATGTTGTTGCGAATTAAAATTAGTATGTTGTATTATTAATGTTAGTTGATTTTTAAATTAAATTTAAAAGTATACAATCTTGGTATATGATTTGTAGAATTTACCTGAAGGCGGGATGTTCGTTGAAGACCTTCCGATTAAGATGCACGCAAATGTCGGCCTTCATGTCTTTAGGGCAGTAGTTAAGAACTTTATCCGTATCCAAGCCTTTGGTCATCGCCCACGTGCTAACGACGTAATCCATGACGCGCTCACTAAGAGCTTTCGGTACTTCATGTAGCTTCATAAATTCTCTCACGTTGTTCAACATATCGTGATACTTGGCGGTAGCGGACGTCATTTGTTGGATGATAGTGGTGACATGACCGAAGATCGTGGCATACAATAAGGCTGATTGAGGGAAGGAGAGAAAGGGAAAGAGAAAAAATTCTTTAAATTTATTTTACAAAATATTCACAAGTATTTTTTTTCATCTAACTTCGTTGAAATATTCGCAAGTATTTTTTTTTCATCTAACTCGGATGATCAAGATATTCCTTTTGTAGCTGATTTACGGACATTTATAATTAGATTCAGATTATAGTGGTATCCGTACCAGCTATGATCATCATACAGATGGTGAAAATCTTCTCATTATCGGTTTCGGCTGCAACGTTTCCAAAGCCCACAGAGGTCATACAAGTCATTGTGAAGTAAAGAGCAGTGACATACATCGTACGGCGTGACGGGCCAGCTACTAGTTCGGGTGCGGTGCTGGCATTGGTCCACAAGTAACTATATGGTGACTGGGTAACGTTAGCCAATTTCCACAACCACGAGTATTGCACCCCATTGTCAGCATCCGATCTCCCTATCGAATACCTTTAATGCGAGGAAATTTCTTACTATATGAGATTCATCGGACAGGAAATTGATACGATATCAAAAAAGATCACATTTGGATGCGAGATACCATGCTATTTCTTTACGATCGCGCGGAGTTAAATTTAACGTTCTTGTTTATACATTTAAATGCTTCCACATTCTGGAAATGAATTTTGGAGATGAATTTTAACTTAATGTAATAACTGGATATCGTTGCTTTGTATTGTTCCTGTGCATTCGTCCTCTTTCATAAAAAATTATTTTTAATAAAATTAAATTTAAAAAATTTCTAGAGAGCAACTGACGTTTTATATTTAATCAAATTTCTTCTTTTTTTCGGTAGAATGATGATTAATAAAATAATATAATATAGAATAACGTTCAATAATATAATATATAATATATATAATAATATTATATATAAAACGCTCAATTTTTAAGATATAATGAACAGATATATATATTATATATATATATAATACGTGGATGCTTTAGATATAACGAATATCACAATAATCCTCGTTTTTGTATGAGTATGTAATGTTGTACAGTAATGATTGTATTACGCGACGTACGTATCTCAGTCAAAGAGGTGTGTGTTACCTTGAATACGTGTGTGTACGCAGGGTAAAATCACCTTAATATGACGTACCAGATACAGGCCAGCCAGTGAGCAACCAACATGTAGAAACAGAGTAGAAGAATGAGCATCGCGGCACCGTACTCCAGATAACGATCTAACTTGCGTACAACTCTACCGAGTCGCAGCAACCGTACTACTTTCAGAGCCGAAAACAGGCTACCTATTCCATCCTCATCATGGTCGAAGGCATTAAATACATCGTACGGTAGACAGCTTAATAGATCTATGATGAACCAAGATTTCAGATAATTCATCCTGATTACCTGAAAGTATCAAAGTATTACGTTATGAAAAAATAACTATTACGCACTTATTTTTGTTAGTATGAAAGTAAATTACTATTATACGTGTATATATTCATTACACTATCATGAACGAATTATTTCACAAAACTGCAAATTATTTATAGGATTTGTAATACTTCTAAATACAAACATTTATTTAAAATATAAACATTTATTTTTAATAGATAATTAAATTGCTTACGAAAAATTTTGATAAAGCTAAAATTACCTTCGGATCAGATACGACTTCTCCACCAGCGCCAACAAATGTTGTGTGAAAATTTAGCACAATGTCGATGAAGAATATCACATCAACGATACTGTCTACAACTAATAGGGAGACATCTTCGCTAGTCTTATTTTTAAACGCGACGTTATACGGCACCATGATGGCTGTGTAAAAAGTCAAACACAAAATAATCCAGTCCCAAATTGCCTTAAACGCACAATAATGTAATAAAATGTGTGGCGGGGTTTTCGGTGCTTCTTGTCTGTATTGTGGCATAACATCGCCGCTTAGGGACATCATCTAAAAGAAGATCATAATGTCGAAATATATATCAAGAAGCAAATTCTTTATGTGTGGAAAATAATTATCATAAAAATAATTTGTTTACATACATTTATACATTTATACATATTTGTTTACATAAATTTATACATTTACACATATTTATATAATTACTTAAAAATATTTCTTCAATCAGTATAAATTTTATTTATACTGATAGATATATGTTAAAATAAACCATTATCAAAGAGAACGAATTATTTTTATCGTTTAAATATCGATTCCTTATCCATCATATATCTCTTTTATTATCTGATATCTCTTTCTTATATTGAGTCTGACTCCATTAGCTTTTCACACTTCAAAGCTTTCAAATGTATAAGCTTTCTAGGTTGATTTTAAAGAAAAATTCATGCAGATGTGGTCTCAGCTTTCCATTTTCTGATGAAGTCGACGTATTGAAAATACACGTTTTTATTTCATCGATTTATAAATGGAATTTTGTATAGATTGACTGCTACCATAATTCATATCGACTGTTTTGAAATGATGATATACCCATATACTTTCAGTAAAAAAGAGATATCAAGATATATATTTTAAAGATATTTTAAAGAAAACATTTTAAAGATTACACGGAAAGAATTATCTTTTAAATTTTACCTTGAAAATATGTACAATACAATATTTTAAAGATTTTTACCATGCACTTAGTAAAATTATTCAAACTTATTTTGTATTTTACTGTAGTTTTATTAATGAATAAAAGAAATTTACATAAAATTCTTTGAAATATAACGTTGTCCCAGAACTATTATATTTTCAGGGTAAATTTTAAGAAAGATCCATAGGAAAATTACAATATAAAAGAGATACACAAATATAAAAAGACGAAGATTTTTAATTTTAATAAAACTATGAAACATCATCTCAACAACTTACATGACCCAGATGCGATTGTTTGGTGGTAGTCGGTACAGCTGTATCTTTCAAAGCCGGCAGATGGGAGCTGAACTGAGAAACTAGAACCGATCTCGATCTCGTGACTGATCTGGCGAGTTTGGCGAACTTGGAGAGGCCGCCTTTGCTGTCGTCTGTTTCGATGGGTTGTTTCAAAGCGGTAATGTCTCGAAAAGTCCATAATGGTGTCTCTATGGATCGTAAAAAAAGATAACGCTGATATTAAAAAAGAAAATCTAATATTTAATTCATTCTTTCAAGCACTATCAGTTGCAAGAAGATTACGAATTTTATTTCTCTAGCAGAGACTATATTGAATCAGCGAGTCAGCTGGTCGTTAATTTAGTTGCCGGAATCTAAAAGAATCTACGCTACTTGTGTCAAAAAATATATATTCCAATAAAATGATCTGCTATATACAATAATAAAAGTGCGAAAGAAGAAAAACTGAAATGTAAGAACTAATCGTACTATTGTTTCATAAATTAGATAACTTTTTAAAAATAAAAATTGATAATATAATCAACACATCATTAATGTAACAAGAAAAATGTTAAAGATATTTTAAAGAAGTGCTAAAATGAGATATTTTATTGCAAGAAAATATGAAAAATTTTCTTCGATGCAAGAAAATTCTCAAATATCACAGATAAGATATAAAAATTTAAAACATTCGTCCATATTACGTGACTTTAGTTAAATTAGATTTAATATATTTTCTAATATTAAATTTCTAAGTTATCTAGCTAGCTTAATCCTTATAATATAATGATGTTTCTTCGTCAATCCAAGTAATAAATCGTACTATGCATTAAATTATTGTAATACTAGTCACACTTGTCCACAATGTCAAATTCGACATGCAGGATCGAAGCCGGATGCGAGTTCAAGCCAATGGAATCTAATTAGGGACTCGCTTATGATATTTCGTAATGTAAAGCATGCGAGCATGCAAATAAATGATAGTAATGAATAAATTAAAGTAGAATAAAGGAGAAGAAAACAGTAACATATATGTTGAATAATAAAGAGACGTATATATCCTTAATCAAAATAATTAATCAAAATATATCGTTGTGTATTAAAATACATTTGCAATGTCGATAAATCCAAATGCTAGTAAATATAAAAATAAATTTTCTGACATTTTGGATATCTTTAATATTTTTACGTTATTCTTTGATGAAATATATTTTTACTTAGTCTTAAAAAAATATACCATTTTACTTCGTTAGAATTTGTTGTTCTTTTATCGCGGATTAATGAAAAAATATAGGAATTCAAACATGGATGAAATTTTGAGTCCGAGGGAATACAAGTAATATATAAATGTTCGATAATATTTTGTATCTACTCCTATGTGGATATTTATCGACAGCTGGCTTAATTAAGCAACCTTGTAAGCCTGTCGAGCGACAGAGGCATATGGGAAGTTATATATATATCGACACGTACATCGACAACAGAAATACCGACAACCATGTTCCGAGGAATAATAAAAAGTGTAAGTCATCACACTATGAGAAAGTATAACGGTTTTAACCAATTTGAAATGAAACGAAAGGGATTTAATAATCAAGATAATTATGACAAAGAAAACTCAGCATTGAAATAATTTTCTATGATAAATCTAGCAATTGTTATAAATCATTTAATAAAAATTTATAAAATACACTAATTTAATTTAAAATATTCTGTTAAGAATTATAACTTCTATAAAATATGTAAGATAACATATTTATCGTAAAATATCAAAATTATCTTGATTATTCAATATTAAACGCAGATGGCAATCATACGCTTGAATATAAATGGCATAATTATATGGCAACATGTGTTATGTTGTTACAGAGCGTGTTATGCACTGAAAACAAATAAAAACAATATCGTAGAATTTATGTGGAATATCAGAACATATGAAATAAAATTTGTTAATAAGAAAGAGACAATCGATAGAATTGACCGAAATGGTTCGATTTGTAAAAGAATTTAAGGTATTAAAGCGTAGCTTTAAGATGTTAGAGAGTAGCATTAAATCGACAATCAATTTGTGAGATTAGTTTTATTTTAGATTATTGTGTTGTATGCCGAAAGTAATCGGCGCACGGTCATATATCTGAAATAAATGTAATAAGTGTAGAAATATTATTCCAACATCCAACTTTGACCGTACTTGGCGTTTCTCTTACTTAGCTGATGTTTCGGTTTTATTAATGAGTACTAAGTAATAGGTGTAACAATTGGATTGAATTTCTATGATCATATTATATACTTTTAATTTGCATAATCTAGGAAAAATTGACAAAAAAGTTATAAAGATTTTATTATTAATTCTATGATGCATCAATAATAAAATGCGATAAATCAAATTTTATCTTTCAAAATTAAAAATTTTCATCAATATGCAAATATACATTAATAACAATTTAAGTGAATAAAAAATATACAAGTAAATGTATATTATATTGTATGCTGTAAAAAGTATTGTAGTATCAATTTTGAAATGTTGATAAAAATCATAGAAATTGAAATCGAAATGTTTATGACAGTATACACGCGCTATCATTTATAAGTTCGGAAACGCTTGTGATTTTCTCGCATCTCACGAAAAAAATCGTGGAAAAACTTTAAAAAAATGTTTTAAAGAGGAAAGACGGAACTTTAAATCTCTATGTTTTAGCTTTGTGCCTTCAATGTTTTGTTCTTAAATTACATAAAATTAAAAATTGATATTTTTTAAATATTTTTGTTTTACTTTGAAATACTACAACTTGATGAAACGTCATCGGATAAAATTTAACAAATAAATATCTTAAGCTTTAAAATGCTTTTACGATGAAAAAAATTACGACGATTTTTCGCAATAATATCGAATTTTTTGTGTAAAATTTCAATTTCTACATTTTTTTATAAAGAAATTTTTTTTAAAATATAAAATATCGTAGAAATAAAATTAATACTTAGATTTAAAGCTCTATTCTTCCTTTTTGAAATACATTTTTAAAAAATTCTCTATGACTTTTTTTCATTGAAATATTTAACTTTACGTGCGAGAAAATCATAAACATTTCTATACTTATGAACAATAATGTAACTACATATATACTATGTGCTATTAGGAAGAAGAGACTATATGAAATGTAAGTAAAAATAAATTTTCTGTAAGAAAGAATCTTCGTTTCCTGTAATATGACACATAATTAATTTGTCTTTTACAATCTTTAGCACTTATTCCTACGAGTTAATCAACCTCGTAAATTTTTGATAATCCTCGAAGAGTGACTTTCTTTCTTCCTCTACTCAAAAAGAAAAATGAGCGTCAGTGCTTTTATCTCTGCGTCTCTCTTCCGCCGATAAGAACTGTCGACTGTGGTTTTCCGACAAAAAGGTACTTAGATTCGCCAAACGAGCAGCACAAAAATAATGTCCGTAATCTATTTTTTGAACTATCGGCAAATGGCGCTATTGCAAGGTAATCTTTCTGCTTTAGCTCCGATTACGAAGGAAATGTAGCTCTTTTCTATAAGGTGGATATTCTAATTTTAAAGAGAAAATTTCGGAAAAATTTAAGATAATTGTAAAAATACTAACAATAATTTTAATAAATTTCAAATATTTTTTATATTTTTTTTATCCTCTAATGAACAGAATTTAATAAAATAGTTAATAGTACCTAGTTTAATTTGTGATCTTTTTAAGAAATTACCGGAATTACAGATTTAGAATTAAATTAAAATTTTTAATGCTAATTTTTAAGTTTATTATTGATGTGATAAGTATATCTGTCGTATATATTGTATCCTTTGCATAGATTTTAAATTCGTGGGTGACTTACTGGCATTTGCGAGCACGCTTTTGTGAATCTGTGCTAGACATACCTCTTGGGCTACCTTTAAACAGAACGATCTTGCGTTATTATGCTTAGTATGTGCATTAAGGGAGGGTGTTTCCTTTTATAGAAAAAAAATCATCAAATATTCGTCGAAAGTTTCCGCAATGAGATAACACGCGAATATTAGAGCCAGATGATGCGACATGATCACAGAACGACCAGCAAAACGCGGAACTTATCGATGATGTATGCAGATAGTTACGTTTCGATATTCCACCAAATATTGTGCATGCACATTGATACAATTCGTGCCTCGAGGCGTTTTAGCAAAACGGGAATCGACAGTTTTGCTGTTAGCAATTGTTGTTACAAACATTGTAACTATAACATATATATGCTTCTATAACGTGCTTTAAAAATTTACACACATTTAATAAATAAAGTTGTTATTTTAAGAAATTATTTTTCGATATATTCTCATTATATTTATAATTTTTTAAGTGCAAAATATACATATAATGATGAGGAAAAGGATGAGAAACAATACAAAATTAAATTTTCATAATTTAACTTTCGATAGATACTATTATATTCCATCTAGTTCATTCTCACTTTAATAACAGTGAGATAAATGTCAAATGTTTATAGAATAGCAATTATTAATTCAATTTTCATATCTGTTTATAACTACTTAAAAAAGAAATTAAAATATTTTATTATACTTGAAAAAAAAAAATAACGCAACTATTTTCTTACAGCTTATTGCTACATAAAAAAGTTAAATTGCACGTTTCCAGCGATGTACATATCCCAATTAACGTAACGGCGCTGTTACGCTGGCAAAACGTCGGTTCCCTTACGCTAAGCGGCGGCGTTTTGTTTTCCATTAAATACATAGACTCGGCTGATTGCCGGGTACCTCTAACGTTTCCGCACCGTGCACAATGCATAAAGTGCATGGTGGCGCAATAGGAAACTAGATGTTGGCCCGATAAACACGCGCATGCAAATTTCGCGCAATAACTCCCCTGGTCGAGATTCCGCGAGTAGTTTTTTCTCCCTTTCCAACTACCTTTTTGCACAGCTATCCAATTATCCTGCGTGATAAACGCATAAAGAAAAACGTACTCGCCACCGACAGATTTTTATTACATGTAAATTTCGTCAAAATTCAAAATTACATCTTCTTGTAATACTAGAACAATTCGTCGAACTAGAACAATTCGTCGAGTTTAGAAAAACAGAAACTAAATAATTTCATCTTTTTAAATCGTTATAATAAGGCCGTTCATAAAAATTAGTGTTTCATCAAGACAAGATTTCTTGTCTTAAAGAGCATTTCTTGTCTTGTCTTGATTTTCAAGATAAAAAATTTCGTTTTTCTTGTCTTGACCATTTCTTGTATTTCTTGTCTTGAATTCAAGAATCTTGAATTTCTTGAAATTTCTTGATTTTTTAAGCAGGGTCCTTGTGACTCGTTGACTACATTGCGTCGTAAGAGATAATAAGAAAACATAGATACAAATTGAATGTCGAGTCGTCTCGTAGTTTACTATGTTTAAATTCATAGTTTAAAAATGTGCCTATACTGTCTATTATGAACAAATCTATGGAATATCTATAGAAATAAAATATATCTATAGAAATAAAATATTAGGTGTTGGAATTAATTCGTAGCGTTTTACAAGTGATGGGAAGTACTTTCATTAATGTATTTTTTAATGCTCATGTGAAATAAATAACATTCTTTCATTAAAAACGCTACGAATTAATTCCAACACCTAATAATAAAATATTAAAATAATAAAGTATTAAAAATAAAAACTGTCACGGAAATTCAAGAAATTTCAAGAAATTTCTTGACTTATTGTCAAGAAATCTTGGTCTTGATAACAATTTCTTGTCTTGTCTTGAAATCAATTTCTAATTTCTTGTTTTGATCTTGTCTTGACAAGACAAAACCAAGACAAGATTTCTTGAATTTCTTGATCTTGATGAAACACTAATAAAAATCATGATTTTATTTTTTTATCTAAATATTACTTTTATCTAAATATTTATTTTATCTACATATTTATTGGCTTTATCACGCAAAATAAACCAACGAATAAACATAAATTTATGCGTTAGATCAAAAAATACAAAATTTTAGATCTGTATAATTCTCCGATCATTCTTCCTTTCTGTATATTAAATAACTAATCAAGGACGCTACATTGAAAACCATCGATATTCGTAAAAAGGCACGAACACCACATTTAAGCTTTCATGCGGAGATTTATAAAAATAATTACTCACTGGTCTTCTTGTACAGCAAGATCTCGAATTGATCGTGAATCTGACCCTCGAGGCATTCCTCGATTCTGGCAATCGTTTCCTTGTCCGTTAGCTCCCCATACATGAATCCACAACGACATGACTTTTGCATAACCTGGAAATATAAAAAGGATATATGAAATATTCATCATAATTTATTTTTTCATTTAGAGATTGTATAGGTACAGTAAGATAAATGTACTAGATAGTACATGTCACATGTCCCAATTATTAGACAAAATGATAAAAATTTTAAATATTAAGCTTTTAATGATATGTATAATTCTAATTTATTTTATTAAATTTCCATAAACAATGATTTTATTTATTCTAGTAAAAACAAAGCACAAGATAGAAAGAAACACAAGTCGAATATATAAAGAAAAGTGATAGAAGCAAATGTAAACGAACGTTCTATAAAGAGCGTAGATTGAAACAATGAAACATAAAAGAAGCGTAAAGCGTTTACGAAGCATTTTAACACTTCGTTTACGTTCCATTGTTCCAATCTACACTTCTTAGAATGTTTGCTTATACGCTTCTGTACTCTCCTTTTATATTCAACTTATGTTCCTTTTAATCTTACGCTTTATTTTCGCTAGAGTAAAATCGTATATATCATTAAAAGCTTAGTATTTAAATTTTTGTTATTTCATCTAATAATTACGTCGTGTCTTTAATTATGTACTACTTGATACATTTATCTCATATGTATAACATATGCGTGTATAACACATGTTATTAATATAAATATAAAATACGTAGAGCAAATAATAAATGCGACATGATTCTGGATAAAAGATTCATTATAACGATTTGTTTGTTATTAATATACATTTTGCACTTATTTTGTTGTATTAATAAAGAGTGTATCATTCAAGAGTTATAATTCACTACTACAAATTCAGACGCGTGATAATGTCAAATAATTAAAAGAACAGCAAATACGAGTCACATGCGATTGTTAGAGCGCAGAAATAAAATTATTTTATAAAATTTATTATTATCTCACTTTATAATAAATTTATCAAAAATTATTTTATAAAAATTATAAAATAATTTTATCTCTGCGCTTTTATTAATTCAACAATAGCGGGTAAAAACTCGTATTTGCCATTTTTTAAATTATTTATTATAGATATTTAATAATATGAAATTTTTAAGTTCGTAAAAATAGAGTATCTGTTATTCGAATTTTGTTCATATTATCATGTTTAAAGATAATTTATGTAAAAAAAATAGGCAGTCAAAAGTGCAATTATGAGATACGATTGTAACTGAAAATTTAATGGATAAATCATTTTCACATAAATAATTATTTTCCCAATCAACAATATCATTGTATTCGAACTTGTGTACTTATAATATGAAAATTATGTAATGTATAATGCAGTATTATCGATTCGCACATTAAACGTTGTAAACAGAAGTCATTGTGAATAAAGCGTTTCTTTAAATAGCGATCTCATGGATCAATATTGCCGATAAAGGTTGATCCGATATGTTATCAAATGTCGACGAAAGCGAGAAACGGTTTGTGCAGTTCGTGCAGGCTATCGAGCATAGGTGATATCGTATTTTTCGACCTCGAAACAGATTTATTAATCCCGTAGTGCTGACCTTTAAATCTTGTGGTTTGCAGATGCAACAGGAATGAAATAACTTGATCCCAATCAAATCCGTGCTCGTCGTGTTTTTAAATGGGCGCAATTTTTTTATTCGCACGAATTTTTTAATTGAACACGCAATTTCATAAAGTTGTGTAAAATGAATGACATTCAAAGAAACAATATTCGCTTAATTTGTAAAGCGGCAAAAACTTTTAATAGACAAAAATATGGAACTTTTACAATTTATTTCCGCGCCTTCAACTTTATCAATAAACTGACATTAAAGAGATTTCTTTTAAACGCTATATTGAAATATATTTTGCTCCAGCCATCTCTGTTTTGCTCGTATCTATCATTTCAACATTCGTAGCATGCAGATGTGCGATAAAATGACACGAAATAGCACATATTTCTTGTAGGCAGTAACAGTCCATTGTGTTAGCTGTACTTTTTCATGCTATCTATAATAAAAAAAGATATACTTTTGTAGATGAACGAATAAAAACAGAAAAGCACAGACGTAATATTGTTGATTGATATAATCTTGTTGAATAAATATAGGGGCATGATTTTAAAGAATATCATTTGGAGATTTTAAAGAATATCATTTGGAGATTTTCTAAACGAAGAAATTAATTCTACAATTGTACGGTTATATATTAATCCGATTATGTCTTGGAGACAACTGAAGATAATAAGACTAAAAACGTAATTTTCTTTAATAATATTGCTTGGCTATGTAAGCAGAATTGAGATAACAAGCAAAAGGGTCACTAATATAACTTTTTATTCAAATTGCCAAGCAAAATTATTACTTTTTAAAAAGAACTGATTAACTATACAAAAGGAGCTTTAAAACTATCCAATTCGCCCAACAATTATTTGTGCATTCAAGCGCCTGTTTTTATTTTTCATGTAAAATAATAATATAATGTATATTCGTTATGCAAGATACTCGACCGGGATCAAGAATGCGCGAAATGTACTCTTTGTCATCATTTTCGTTCTTCATCCTGTAAACCTCCCACGAAAGCATCCTCAATCCGGTTTCCAGTAATGGAGTTTGCAAACCCCAAATCCATGTATCTTCTCAAACAATAGGATTGGAACACTAGGAGTCTTACAGAAACGAAGTGGTTACAGCTTGTGCTACTACGTCGTCACTTTGGTTGAGACTCCAGAGCGCAGTTAGTCCAGTCACATTCGAATCAAATAATTCAAGATGTCCAATGTAAGTGTGAAAAACTATTTTTGGGTGACTTTTTACTATTAGTTTACGAGTTCTATTTAACAAGATTTTATTTTTGTTGTATATCTTGATGTTTATCCTCTGCATATAATTGTTTTATAATACTATTATAGTTATAAGACTATGTTTCATAGAAAATTTGTTTCGTTTTGAATCTTTGTTAAATTTAAACACACATACACACATATACACACATATATATATATATATATATATATAAAGTAAATCTTTTAAAACTGCAGCAAATATAATGGTCATGCATTTAAATGTGGATATAAAAAAGATAATCAGTAAATAAAGAAAAATTAGGATATAAGAATGAATAATAATATTTTTTCTCTCTTCGTCGTATACTCAATATTTATAGCAAAATTCTAGTTGTTTTAGTCATTCATACAATGTATCAATTATTATTTTTTTTATTCGTGTAAATTTTGAGATTTTTTACACAATAAATATCCAACAATGTATAAAATAAACAACAAATTACTAAATTCAGAGAGAAGATCGTTAAATGAATGATCAATTAAGTTAAATTAGCTATTAATTAATCTTTAGCTAAAAAGTACGATATCAGAGTAGACTTCTTGCCTCGCACATAACCTTCTGATCCTTATGCATGTAATAAATTAATGTCGAAGAATGAACTCGCTAATCGCTAAATCCCGTTATCCGCTCGCCACTTGCACTAATCTCATTCTTTAAAGAGTGAAAAATGACAAAGGATAAGCAAACTGCTCATAGTATATTGTATTGCCAGGTAAATATCAAAGGATATTCTGGAATATTCGACAATGTTGTGTATATAATATTTATTGGATTTTTACCAAAGTAAACAGCTCTTCGAGAAGATTCGATACAATCGCGTAACAACGTCAATGCCTGTTGATTCCAATTCCATAATTTAAGAAAAGAAATGTAACATACATATCATACACACATATCAAGCACAAATTATATTAGTAATAATTCGTTTCCAAATATAGCCAAATTAATCAACAAGTGTATTACTGAAGAACAGTAATATACTTTTTATTGATCAGCTTTTTAAATAAAAATATGTATTAAAACAAATAGGTATAAGTATTATAAAATAATTGTTGACATAATTGTAATATGTAAATTATATTAATATATATATTATATATTATATATTATATAGGTTGGTAACTTTAAAAGATTAAAAATTAATTAAAAATTAATTTAAAAAAAATCGTGATACGCTGATGACCTGTAAACCTTTTGAATATTCTGAAAGATTTGAAAAGGTAATTCCTTTTATAATAAATCAACAACATATGATCAATAACATATGATTATATAAAGTTTTCGTCTTGATTTAGTAAGAGGACTAATCCTTAAAATCTTTTAGAGTATTTAACTGTCATCCTGTATAATATTCCTATTTAAATATTGAAATTATTACAGAAAATCAATATTTGGATAATCCATGTCCAGATAATTGGCGGTCTATTGTATCGAATAAATTAAATGAATTTCTGACAAATTAAATTTTGTGATGCTTGACATAATATGTAATTAACTAATTAATTAATTAACATTATCGCAATGTTTAAATTTTACGAGTAAAGTTATTCATTTTCATGCATTGTGTCATGTAAATACAATTATACGAAAATACTAACGCAATAATATTGGTGACAATAAAAAGATTGAAGATAACACAAATTAAATATCGTATATCAAATAACGTACTCGTACCTCTGCACGATTGTAGCCGGAGATCTTGACGAAGCTTTCGTTGCAATAGACGATTGGGAAGTCGACGATCTGAGCGTTTGCTAGTAGAAAACTGCTGTCAGCTGTGAACAAAAAGAAAGAATGAAATATTATCCTTCTGCAGTATAATAAAACGTGACATACATTTCTCCTCATCTCGCTTTTCCTCTTTGAATCAGATTTTGAGTCAGTATCTTTTGTTCAAATTTTCTCGTACCGTTTAACACTTATACATATTACTGTCTTACATCAAAAGACGTGATTTTAGAATTATTGTCATGAACGAGTAAACATAACTCTTCATCAATCATCAAAAGTGAACTAATTTAAGTTCATAAAAAATCATCAAAAACATCATAATTAAAAAAAGTGAATTTTTTAAGACCCGGTTGTGCCAATGTTACTCTGACTTTAAGCAAGACTTAAAACTCTCTCTGGCTCGTTTTAAAATGAAAGAGAGATAGAGATGGAGAGAGTTTTAAGCTTTGCTTAAAGTCAAAGTAACGATGATGCAACCAGACCTAAGAATTATAAAATGAAAATGATAAAAATGATCACATTAAAAATATATGTATAATCTTTTTGTTGATATCATTTTGTTGATATTACTTGATTAATTATTTAATAATTTTCTATCAAGGAATTAGTTTTTTCCTCTTTTTTAGAATTAGTTTTTCTCTTTTCTAGAATTAGTTTTTTCTTTTTTTCTTAATTTTTTTAGTTGTGTCACTTTTAAAGTAAGGAGGCAAATTATCTGTCACATTTCTTTTTATTTTAATATTTTATTTTAATATTATACAAATTGTGCGATTTTATACTAAATGTAAACTTCTTCAACATTACATTTATATTGTGAATATAATGAAATGTTTGTGATGGGACAGATCTCTCTTTCTATCTCTTTTTTTCTTGTATAAATCTATATTACTTAGCTAATGGATGTTCCACAAGTTTTTCAACGTGCGCTAGAGTCCATTTAAAGTTTCTCGATAAATTATAAGCGAGAATTAACAACGGAGATACAGCGTGCTCGGATCCAACGGATTTTCGTGAAAACAGAGCAAGACGAAGAATGTAAAGTGAGTCATGCTTTACCGTATTTATCTAATTAGTCGTATAATTAGCGTTTAATGAGCGTTTCGATTTATTTGCATAACAATAAGAATTCAATATTTAAAACGGCGAGAATCATATTTTCTATCAAGGAAAAATTTTTCTTATTTTATATATTAATAGTAAAACGCACAGTAAAATAATATGACGACGATAATTAATCATGTCAACTTATTAACAATAGTTATAATATGATATCAACTTATTGATAATTATAGTTATATACAGATATAACTTATTAATAATAGCTTGCACAATTAAATCAGCCAATGTTAGTATCTCTGTATCCATATCATGCAACAAAAATTATTATTGTAATAATTTTTATCACACTTTAAGGTAAGTACGTAAAAGTATTTTTCACGGATGAAAAAAATGTTTGATGATAGTGATTAGATGATGCTATTTCAATTCGCAAATGCTCATTTGCGATATGAATGCATTAGTAAGTTTCATAAAATTTAAAATACTATGACGTAGGATTTGAGCGCAATGCAAAAAGAATGGTGACATCGAACAAGGACATAATCGTTATTTCACCGATTCCAGGTATCTTAAATCTTGAATGAAGACAATTGTCTAACAATCTGGATATATAAAACGGATGTTCATTCGCTAATGGTCATACAGTCAATATCATTGCAAACTACAAAAAAACGACCATTGAACAACGAACATATTAAGCAAGAGTTTTACGTTTCAATTTTACAATGTATGCATCATGTAAATATTGAAATAAAATTGGAAATTACTCACAAGATAGAGACATATACATATAAGCGATTCTTTTCCTCTTTTTACAAATAATTAATTGTAAATGACAATATATTCGAATTATATTATAGCATTGATTTACAACATTGAGTTCAGTTAATGTGCATATAATATAAAGAATTGAGTAATAATAATTAAATATCAATCATAGAACATTATTAATTTAATTAATATCATGTATTATTATGATTTCACGAAATAAATCAATCTCTAGGATTCAAACTTCCTGGTCAAAACTTTAAACAATATTACTACAACGAAAAATATCGAATCAATAATAAAAAAAGAAATCTTTCATTGATCGTTAATGTACATCGTATGGCAAAGTACCAAAAAGGAAATAAGTTAGTTAAGTAATAAATATGAACTTGTCTAAATTCCCTTCTCCTGTCGAGGCTGTATTTTTATCCGTCGCTCCCATTCTTTACCAGGTTCTCTCATAGGGAGTCGGATGCACTCTTCCGAGCGTATGATCTCTGAAGTAGATCCTGTTGCATTCAATGCATATATTGTTCCTATATATATAGATGTATGCATCTATTGTATGTGTGTATGCATATATGTGTGTAATGTACCGGGTGTGCCCGTAACATTCGCAACATGAACTGCTTGAAGCTTTCAACGATTCTATGGAGTACTTTCGAGAGGATACTCGATCAAAAGCACCTCCTTGTAATATCGTCGACCTATTCTTCCTTTTTCTCACCTATCTTCTTCCTTACTGTCGGAACGAGAATTCTCAATGAGATTTAGTTAGTCGCATTAACGTAGATTTGCGGCGCAGTCATTCAATGTGCAAAAAGAAATATCCACTGAAATAATTTATTGCTATAATCTTAGAAGATATTATTAGGATTAAAATTGTTTATTTGATAGACGTATTGTTTATTATTAGTTTAAATAATAAATTATTAATTATTTAATATAATGTAATGTATAAAAAACATTAAACTCATTAATATATACGAGGGCAAGGTGAAAAGTAACCGACCTCAACATGAAAACATGAACTATGTACAAAGTTTTTAGTTAAGTACCAAGTGTTATATATCAAATTACTCGTATTAAAAATATCTATAATTTATACTTTGACCACTTTTCTGAACAATTCATAGCTAAAAAGTTAGAGTCAAAAATATGTTAGCGCTTTTTTTCAAATCTGCCGCAGCAACTTATAAGCCTACCGAGCCTATGCTAACCTGTAGAGAAAAATGGTCAAGGCAGAAATTGTAGCCGCCTTTAATGTGAGCAATATGATATATAACACTTGAATATATATCGAAAAGTTTGACTTCGATGGCAGCATCTTCAATAACAAGTCGTACTTTTTTTCTTAAATTTTCGTTTTTTGCTTTTTTTCTTCTTATGGTTTTTTGGCTATAACTTTTTAGCTGTGAATTGTTTAGCAAAGTGGTCAAAGGAGAAATTATAGATATTTTCAATGCGAGTAATTTGATATATAACACTTGGTACTTAACTGAAAATTGCGTTCATGTTCATGTTTCATGTTGAGGTCGGTTACTTTTCCTTGCCCACGTACATATATATATATATTCATAAAATTTTACTTTATATATGTGTGTGTGTGTGTGTGTGTGTGTATGTATACATAGGCTGTCTATAAATAAATATTTGTGTTTACTTATTTCTTCACAGAATTTATTCGTTTAATATATAGATATTTATACACGTCCATAGCGAAAAATTTTCATTTTATACTAAATCACAATTCTGATGCACAATATGAAATGCCAGTATTCAACAAATAACACTAATAAATAATAAATAATAAATATTTAAACAATTATTAATCTTATATGTTATACCGAATCTTCTTAAAAATGATATTTCTTCTTTAAAATCCACTATTTTCAGTTCAAAAGTTTTACAATAAAAGTTAAGGACTCTGATTTATTGGCGTAAATTCTTTTAGAATCGCCAAATAATCATAGTTCATTGTAATTACAAGCTAGGTGATAGATTGTTTTGCTGGTTGTTTGCTGCTGGTTTGTAATTAATGGTTTGTAATAAGGTAGTTGCTATGTTTTATCGTCGCGCTGCAAATATTTTCTTCCGGATCGTGTAAATAATAAAGGTATATAAAATAATTCCTAACAATGTATGCATGAACGCAAATGTTTTAAATGAAATGTTTTATTAATACTTATGTGAAGGAAAATATGTTTATGGAAATCACGTTTTATATACTATATTTCTTCCCTCCCTTTCTCTCTCTCTCTCTCTCTCTCTCAAACTATTATTGATATCCTTTCAATATCAGTGAGGCTGGAATCAGACTACGCATTGAAGATTGAGACTGAAAATTGAAATTTGAAATTTGATCAATGAGGACAAAAAAATTTTAGCCTTTTTGTTTTGATTGATCAAATTTCAATCTTTCAATCTTCAATCTCAATCTTCAATGCATAGTCTGATAAGCATACAGCCTAAACATGATTATTTTCAATTATAGTTTAAATTATAAATTGCATTTATAATGCTTTATTTCGTAATGCACGAGAGGTAATGCAATCTCGCAACTTTAGTTACATTTATACTTAATCTTGTGTGATCGATACTCGTTCCATCGGTGAGTAAATAAATCATCATTACTTCAGAGCACATAGAGAGACAAAGAAACAAACATTAGCTGCGAATACTCGTTTTGCATTAAACATGAGAATGCATTTCCGTAGCAGTATATGTGTGGTAAATTTTGATGTAACGAGAGCCCTGATTGCTATACCAATAATCACCGCATATAGCTATAGTAGTGATAATTAGTAAATGTAAAAAACTTCACGCATTTATTAATTAACAACTCATACTAGTAGTATACACATAAGACTTGCACGAGCAATAGTATTATTTTGAGGTATATATACACTTCAATGTACACAGGTGTCTCTAGAAGTGCAGCGATCTGTGCTAGAATATATAATCATTGAACTTTGCGGAAATTATTACTGTATCTAATTTATTGCTTCACGTCGCCAATTCCCATTAAACCTATATTGGGAAGAGACTTTTACGGTTCGGGAATCTGTAGAAAATGTACTATCGCACTTCAGAGAGAAATTGTTGAACAATATTATTATCTATTATATTTTCTATTTATCATCAGTCAGTATTTACTAAATTAATATGATTGTTTTAAGCATGAATATAAGAGTTTGCCTTGTTCCGATTAGAATTA